CCCCTTGTGTTTCAAAATCATATCCAGAATGGGACTAGCACAATCTCCCAACCCAGCCCAAATATGATTTCCGAACAAGGGGTACATACATTGCCTCTTAGATAGGGAGATCCCCAGCTGGATGACCTGAAAATAATAAGCAGGCAAGTGAGCGGGCACGGTACACATTCATTTTACAGGTCTTTGTACATTGCCCATAGTCCTTGTGCAGGAGGCTAGCCAGCAGGCTCCTCCAAGAGCACATGGCAGAGGCATCTTTGCCACAGTAGACCTTGGTCACATGAAGTGGAAGTCCCCACAAGAAAGCATTGATTCAGCTTTGGATTGGACCTACTATGGAGGAGGCCATGCTTCCTTAATGACGTCATGGAAGGTGGAGAGGAAAGCAGTGCCAAAGAAGCCTCTGCACTGGAACAAGGTAAATGCTTTTAGTAGGGACAGACACAGGAATATAGTCTTGCATGCCTAGTTTTCTTTTAATTAATTTAAAATACCTTATATTTTTGCATATTTGCTGGTTCGTAAAGCTTTATAACTATTTTTTTCCTGTCAGCTAAATAAATTTAGCAAGGCTTTAGTTGACAATGCTTTGGGAACCATTGGAATACCAATGTTTAGCCCCTCTGCATTTTGTCAACTGAGGCTTTAACCATAAAACAAAGTAATCCCTACTTTACTTATGATATCCTTTGATTGCATTTGAATTTCAATGACATTCCAACACAGTCAGTACAAGTATTTCAGATAAGAGTTTCTCCTTATTAAATATTCAGAAGTGACAGGATGGTGACAGAGATCCTTTAAATCTTCATGAACTGACTCTGATAGCCTTCTTGACACTGCCTGGCTTGCAATAAACAAAAAGATGACTTTCAAGGAACAGTAAGCCAGAATCAAGAGTGCTGATTGGGAAAAAATAAAAATGAAAACAGGATCAATGCTTTCAGTACACTTCTGCATTATATAGTTGTTTATGTCTAGACATCAAGAGCATCTGAGTGACTATTCTGAAACAGAATAATTAGTTTCAGGATCTTATTACAAGTGAAAAGTAGACTTGCTATAGTTAACATAATGACAGGGTGACTTTGCAACTTAGTAGTTTTTTTAGTTAGCTGCAAAGATGGTACAACCCAGTCTGAAATGCATAGATCACTACATTTTTAGAATGGAAATAGAATGCGTTAAGAAGGTTTTAGCATTTAACCCCTTCCCGACTGTGGATCTGCTAGGTACGTCCGACAAAAATGGTCCTTAAAGACCTCAGACATACCTAGTACCTCTGCGGTATTACTTATTTACTTACTCGATCGCCGCCGTTCCCCCATGTTCCTCTCAGTATGGCGGGACTGTCTGACAGTTCAGACAGTCTCCCCCTCGGCAAATTAGGATCCCGCGGGCCGCAATAGGCTTCCACAGTGCTGCCTTCAGGGAGACTGCATGAACTGACAGGCAGTCCCCCCTGCTATTGAAAAAGTAAAATACAAATGTTTATAAAAAAACAAAACAAAAAAACAAAACACACACATATATATATATATATATATATATATATATATAAAAAATATCATACTAAGTGTATTTTGTATTAATATATACATATATTAATATAAAAATACACTTAGAGTAAAACTACAGACATATATATATATACACACATATATATATATATATATATATATATATATATATATATAATAACTATATATATTGTATATTATATATTATTCTAGAAAATAAATAATTATTTAAAAATAAATTTAAAAATGTAAAAATGATATATATATATATATATATATATATAATGCAATAATTGTAATAATAGTAAACTAACTCACCCCAGGTGCTGTTCGTGACGAAACCGGCGTTCTTTCGGATCGTGTGCCCATTTTCGTGATGCTAACATCGTTGCCATGGTATCGCGGTATACCGAAAATGGCCACCATGGCAACGTGTAGCAATAATAAGCTTCCACAACACCGTGTATGTATAACTACAATAAGTGACAGCTCATACAGAAGTGTATAATAGCTGTCCAAGTGCTTATATCAGGACAAAAAGTGGAGTGCAACTGAAGAAAACATCTAAACAGTTATTGTTAAATACCCACATATGTAGTGCATGGTGCAACAGCAAATACAATTTAGCTGTAAATAGTAGTGCATTATAATGTCAATGTTATAAAGTACCCATTTTAATGAGGTGATTTTCTTAAAGTGCCATGCTAATGTAAAGTGCCATTTCATTATAAAGTGCATATCATATTTTAAAAGTGCTTATGTGACTTGTGCTAAAGTGACATAATAACTGCATATATTAAAGTGGAAGGAAAAACCCTAAAAATACTAGCATCCAATTAATATAAATACTAAATATACAGGGTTCTGCTAAGGTAGAAAGCTTAAAAATATATATATATTTCTTCCTTGTAAAAGGACTAAGGGATAATCCCTATTTACAAGTCCTTATTTACAGGTGCTGACATATATGGTGTGTTATACCTAAATACTTAGTTAGCACCCCCAAATAAAGCTACTACCTGTGCAATATCTCAATAACAAAAAAACAATAACTAATTACAGTATAATTACAGGATAAACAATATGTTTGCAAGGTACCCAAGGCACAATTCTTAAGGGTCATTATGAATAATTTGGATGTCCCGACTATGGAAACCCAGATATCAGAGATGAAAGCTAAATTCCTACAAAGGGGTTATGATCGACAAACCCTGGAGAAAGCGCTTCAAGAAGCACAGAGTGCGCGCGCTGTGGAAAATAGGAAAAAGCCCTCAGAACTGGTGTTTCCAATGTAGTACCATCACGCATCCCCTCAAGTAGCCGCCTCAGTCAAGAAAAACTGGAAGATACTATCTAGTGATGAGACACTTCCAAGGGAGTTTAAAGAAGTACCATTGGTTTGCTTTAAAAGAAATAGAAATGTAAAGGGCCTTCTGGTCCATACAGACAGTGCAGTTATCAGAAAATATCAAAGGAACAAATAAGAGGATCGGTCAGATGCCTGGGATGCGTAACATGCAGCCATATGACTCCAGCACGGACGTTTAATCATCCCCATAGCAACAAAGACTACCCTATTAAATTTACGATTACATGCAGAACCACACATGTAATCAACAAATTAAGCTGCCCACGTGGTCTTTGCTATAGAGGGAAGACAGAAACGGCTATCTATGAATGCATCAGGGGACATAGGTCCAGTATTCGACTGCATACAGGGATGGCCAATCGGACAAACCGGTGGCAAAACACTTCTTGGAACTGAGACACACATTGGCTACATTAAAGTTTGTAGCGATTGACCACATCCCGCCACCAAGGAGAGGTGGTGACCGGGGGAAGATGGTCCTTAACAAGGAAGCATTTTGGATACATGAGCTGGACACAGTATCCCCTAGAGGGTTGAATGAATCCCTGTCTCTACACTTCTTCCTGTTATATCCAAGTATTTCTTTTAGCCCTCGCTTGCAAATATATTGTTTATACTGTAATTATACTGTAATTACATAGTTACATAGCTGAAAAGAGACTTGCGTCCATCAAGTTCAGCCTTCCTCACATATGTTTTTGCTGTTGATCCAAAAGAAGGCAAAACACCTAGTCTGAAGCGCAATTTTGCCACAAACTAGGAGAAAATTCCTTCTTGACCCCAAAATAGCAGTCAGATGTCTCCTTGGATCAAGCAGCTATTACCCCACTAATTAGAAATTATATCCCTGTATGTTATGTTTTTGCAAGTATTTATCCAATTGCAACATCTGTAATGACTATGACAAAACCACCTTTTCAGGCAGAGAATTCCATATCCTTATTGCTCTTACTGTAAAAAAACCTTTTCTTTGCCTTAGATGAAATCTCCTTTCTTCAAGCCTAAATGTGTGACCTCGTATCCTATGTATAGCCCTGTTTATGAATAGGTTTCCAGATAAAGGTTTGTACTGGCCCCGTATATATTTGTATAATGTTATCATATCCCCTCTCAGGCGCTATTTTTCCAAACTAAACAGATTTAATTTTTTTAACCTTTCTTCATAACTAAAATGCCCATTCCTTTTGTCAATTTTGTAGCTCGTCTCTGGACTTTTTCTAGTGCCATAATATCTTTCTTTAGAACAGGCGCCCAAAATTGCACAGCATATTCAAGGCGTGGTCTTACCAGCGATTTATAAAGAGGCAAAATTATATTTTCATCCCGAGAATTTATGCCCCTATTTATACATGACAAAACCTTAATGGCCTTAGCAACTGCAGATTGACATTGCATATTTCTGCCTAATTTGTTGTCTATAACAATTCCCAAATCCTTCTCATGTGTGGTTATCCCTAGTTCAGGGTGTAAATTGCTTGTGCATGCTTAATCCTGAAGTGCATAAATTTGCATTTCTCTACATTAAATTTCCGCTGCCATTTTAGTGCCCAGTCCCCCAATCTATCCAAATCCCTCTGCAGCAAATCAATATCCTGCTCACATTTTATTACTTTACAAAGTTTTGTGTCATCTTCAAACACCGATACATGGCTTTCAATGCCTATTTCAAGATCATTTATAAATATGTTAAATAGAAGTGGTCCCAAAACAGAACCCTGAGGGACACCACTTACCACTTTTGTCCAGCCTGAAAATTTACCATTAATGACAACTTGTTGTACTCTATCCTTAAGCCAATGTTCTACCCAAAACAAGAATATTCATCTAGACCAATTTCTTTTAGTTTGAAGACTAACCTATTGTGAGGAACCGTATCAAATGCCTTGGCAAAATCCAAGTAGATCACATCTACTGCAACACCCTGATCTATACTTCTACTCACTTCTTTGTAGAATGCAATTAGGTTAGTTTGACATGACCTATGTTTCATAAAACCATGCTGATATTTTTCCAGTTACAGAAGTTAACCTCACAGGTCTCTAATTTCCAGGCAAGGATTTTGAACCCTTTTTAAATATAGGAACATCTGCCTTCTTCCAGTCCTCCGGTACAATACCTGAAACAAAAGAATCTTGAAAAATTAAATACAGAGGTTCACTTATTTCCCCACTTAGCTGCTTAAGTACTCGTGGGTGAATACCGTCAGGCCCCGGAGCTTTATTTACATTAATTTTCTTTAATAGCTATAGCACCTTGTCTCGAGTTATCCAATCACAAGTTGTTTGCAATTTTTTTGCAGCAATCATTTGCATCTCTCTTGCCATAGGATCCTCATTAATATATACTGAAGAAAAATAGTTATTTAAAATTTCTGCTTTTTCCTGGTCTTCATTAGCTAATAAATCCAACTCTGTTTCCAGTGTACCTACACTTTCATTTTTTTTTTTTTTTAGAATTGATGTACTTAAAAAAATTTTTGGGGTTGGTTTTGCATTCTTTAGCTTTCAATTTCTCATTTTCTAGTTTAGCCACTTTAATTGCCTTTTTGCAAGCGTTATTGGCTTCCTTATATCTTAAATAGGATGCCTCTGATTTATCTGATTTAAATGCTTTAAATGCCCTTTTCTTATTTTTAATCTCTTGTTTTTCTTCTCTACAAAGCCACATTGGTTTTAATTTGTTTCTTTTACATTTATTACCTAATGGTACATACTGAGAATATACCTTTCTAATATTTGTTTGAATAGTTTCCATTTTTCCTCAGTGTTTTTATCACTAAGGAGTTTATGCCAGTCGATATGTTGTAGACCTGCCCTAATCTTATTGAAATTGTCTTTTTAAAAATTATATATTTTAGTATACCCCACTTGCTTTTACTTTTTTGAGTTTATTTCAAAATTTACCATATTGTGATCCCTATTTCCCAAATGCTCACCTACTTGAATGTTGGTTAAAAGATCAACATTGTTTGTTATTTTGGTTTTTTTTGTTATTGAGATATTGCATTGGTAGTAGCTTTATTTGGGGGTGCTAACTAAATAAGTATTTAGGTATGGCACACCATATATGTTAGCACCTGTAAATAAGGACTTGTAAATAGGGATTATCCCTTAGTCCTTTACAAGGAAGAAATGTATATATATTTTAAGCTTTCTACCTTAGCAGAACCCTGTATATTTAGTGTTTATATTAATTGGATGCTAGTATTTTTCAGGGTTTTTCTTTGCACTTTAATATATGCAGTTATTATGTCACTTTAGCACAAGTCACATAAGCACTTTTAAAATATGATATGCACTTTATAATGAAATGGGACTTTACATTAGCATGGCACTTTAAGAAAATCACCTCATTTTAAATGGGTACTTTATAACATTGACATTATAATGCACTACTATTTACAGCTAAATTGTATTTGCTGTTGCACCATGCACTACATATGTGGGTATTTAACAATAACTAAGAGAAATCAAAGGAAAGAGTCAGCGCTAGGCTGCCACAGAAAATGAATATTGTATACAGTACACGGCTGCACACCTCAAGGAAAAAAGTGGAGTCCCCTTTAATCTACAGAGCTAGTATCCAGCTCTAGTTTAGGGTGTGCTAATATCCAGCTCTGGTTTAGGGTGTGTGGAGTGGAATGATCCCCACTCAAGGATATGTGACCTCACATGCACCACTTCACATATCCTTGAGTGGGGATCATTCCACTCCACGCACCCTGGATATTAGCTCTGTAGATTGTGAGTAGTACTAATTACCACTTTTTGTTTTCCATTTTGCCTACATTCTGTACCATTGGAGTTTTTCTTGTGTTCTTTCTCCTCATATGCTCCACCGAATTTCAAGTGAAGAGCTTTTCCATCTTATTGTATCGCAAGAGTCCTCCCTATAAACGTGGATTGCATCATTCTGGATTTATGATAAGTCATTTGGACTATTACTATTATTTCTATCATTTGTTTTGATGCGCACCCTTTTCTGTTTTGTGTTATTTTGATTTAACAATAACTGTTTAGATTTGTTCTTCCGTTGCACTCCACTTTTTGTCCTGATATAAGCACTTGGACAGCTATAATACTCTTCTATATGAGCTGTCACTTATTGTAGTTATACATACACGGTGTTGTAGAAGCTTAGTATTGCTACACGTTGCCATGGTGGCCGTTTTCGTTATACCGCGCTACCATGGCAATGATGTTAGCGTCACATAGTGACGTCACGGAAATGGGTGGAGCTTATGCCACACATGTGCACACGATACGGAAGAATCCGTGAGTGCAGCTATACTACTTTACCATTTGGATATTTAAGCCTCGGTATTGCGCCCGGTTTGGCAAGTTTGAAGCCTGAGTGCAAGGTACATTCTAATATATATCATCTCTAAAAATACACTTAAAATGAAATTTTATATATATCCATCCATATACATAATTACATAAATAATCAGAATTACCCCCATGATGGCATACCATTTGCAAAAGAAGACAACCAAAGGTATTTCAAATGGGGTATTAGTAGCCACTTAGTCACAAACACTGGCCAAAGTTAGGGTTTATAAAAAATTTTTGCATTTTTAACACATAAACAAATATAAATGCTAACTTTAGCCAGTGTTTGTGACTAAGTGGCTGCTAAAAAAGACTGGACATACCCCATATTGAATACCCTGGGTTGTCTACTTTCAAAAAAATATGCACATGTGAGGTGTGATTCAGAGATTTATGACAGATGTGTTACAGTGTTACTATGTCACTATTGATAAATTTAAAAAATATATATTTTGAAACCGCAATCTCCTACTTGTACTTATAGCCCTATAACTTGCAAAAAAAGCTAAGAACATGTTAACATTGGGTATTTCTAAACTCAGGACAAAATTTAGAAACTATTTAGCATGGATGTTTTTTGGTGGTTATAGATGTGTAACAGATATTGGGGGTCAAAGTTAGGAAAAGTGTGTTTTTAAAAAAAGTCATCATATTTTATAATTTTTTTATAGTAAATTATATGATATGATGAAAATAATGGTATCTTTAGAAAGACCATTTAATGGCGAGAAAAACGATATATAATATGTGTTGGTACAGTAAATGAGTAAGAGAAGAATTACAGCTAAACACAAACACCCAGAAATTTAAAAACGGCCCTGGTCCTTACCAGTAAGAAAATTGAAAAACGGTCTGGTCACTAAGGGGTTAAAGAGAATATAAGCCATTTAGAAGCAGGACAAACTTGATGTTATACTATTCATGAACCTGACCAGAGACATCACATTTCTCAGTACTATGAATAGAGGTCAGGGAGGGTACATTATGACATTGAAAGGAGATTTAGGTATTAAATATTATAGATTTAAGTATTACCACTGAAGCTAAATATATTCTAATACCTATTGTCTACTCTTAGTAACGTGTGTGCCCTGAATTATAATGTAAGTATAGAATTACCATAGCATAGGATTTCCGCAGACACAAAACACTTTAATAAAACCAATGGAACTGTGCCAAGAAATGTGAAGCTAATTAAAACTGGGAAAATCTCTTTTTTTAAATACTCATTCTAGGAAAAAATGTGATCAGCTTAGATTATGGTATAGAAGCTGTCAAAAAGCAGAGACATTATTGACCCACCAACATGGACCATTGTTCATTGTACTGAAGGAAGCAGAACTGAATGACATGGTAGGATATCTCTGCCGAGGGTATTGTAGACCTATATACAAAAGAGAGGAGGTAAAGACAAATTTCTAAATTGTGGGGAATCTGGAATCACCCCACTGTCTTATTTAAAAGAACATTTACCATTGAATTGAGTTAGTCATATACTACAATTTTGCATTTTGTAAAAACATATTTTACAGCAATGTAAACTCTCTATGCGTGTATAAATAAAAATTGCATTTATTATTTTAAAACTTTTAATGGTTAGATTTAATTAAAAGTAAAAAATGTAAATGTATTTAAAAGTCCCTTAGTGGACAACTTACAACTTACACTCGCTCAAACCATGTGAGGTTACAACCAGTGGCTGAACCAGGGGCGGGGTGAGGGGGCAACAGGGAAATTGCTCTCCAAGGTAGTGCTGATGCTCTCCCATGCTGGGCACTATCCCATCAGAGATTATTATTATTGTTTTATTATTTATAAAGCGCCAACAAATTCCGTATTGCTGTACAATGGGTGGACTGGCAGACACGTAATTGTAACCAAACTAATGGACGCACAAGAACAGAGGGGTTGAGGGCCCTGTTCAATGAGCTTACATGCTAGAGGGAGTGGGGTATAGTGACACAAAGGGTATAAGTAGGGGTAACGAAATTGGTTGCTAGAAAAGTAATCACAAAGAATTTAGTAGGTTATTTTTGACAGTTGCAGGAGAGGCTTCATGGGAGGGGGGTTGGGGGATGAAAACCCGCTAACAGTATGCTTTCCTGAAGAAGTGTGTTTTCAAATATTTTTTGAAGGAGTGGAGACTGGGTGAAAGTCTAACAGAGAAGGGAAGGGAGTTTCACAGAAAAGGTGCAGCCCTGGAGAAGTCTTGGAGGTGAGAACTCTCCCAAGCTCGGAGCGTTACAGCAGTTACCATGGCAACACTGATCTCGCAACAATGAATTCTAGCCTCAGGAGCTGCAGGCTAGAGTTCACTCACCATTTTAAATAATAAAAATAATAATAATATAATAATAAAAAAAGCAAATAAACATATATTTTCAATTCACACACTGCACGCAACACCCACAGTACCCACATCCAAACACTGCACCCCCACACAGCACCCATGACCCCTCACACATACACACACACACACACACACACACACTCTATCCTTCACATACACACACACACTGGACCCCTCACACACACACACACACACACACACTGCAACTCTCAGACACACAGGGGCGGGTCTTCTTTTTGGCACCCCCTCCTCACTTTAAAATGTAAAAAACACTTGAATTTTTTTTGAATGTATATAGCACTGCTATATACTGTACGCTGCCAATACATTATTACAGAAGCACGGTCATACTGTTAAACCACTGCAGTGCATGTCCAGGCCCCTGAAGCACTGGCGACTCTAGGAACAATATATAGAGGAGGCACATAAGATACCACAGTCAACTGGGGGGGTGGAGGGAGGCATTAATAATATTCACTAGGGGATGCGGTAATGTGCTGCCATTGGCTGTCTGATGACAGCATGTTGTGCATGCTGGCATCAGACAACACATTTGCATAGAATTCACTTTAGCCACCCAGATTTCTTGTTCTGAGCTGGCTGGCACCCCTTAACTTCGACCTTCATTTAGCAGATAACTCCCATAATTGCTATACTTATGTGAGATTGCCATATTTAAGGACACCAAATAAAGGAGCTATCTGCTAAACAGCACCCTCATTTGGTATCTTTACATATGGAATTTCACATAAGGGCACCAATTTAAGGAATTATCTACTAAACAGCTAAAAGATCTATATTTAAAAAGCCTTATTAATTTTAAGCTTTAAATTGTTTAGTAGAAAACTCCCTTATTCATTATCCTTATGTGGGGTTGACATATTTAAGGACACCAAATTAGGGAGCTATCTACTAAACACATACACATTTATATACACACACATACGTATGTCTCTGTGTGCACATTTGTGGTTGTGTGTGTGTATATAAATACATACACAATCACAGACATACACCAACATAACCACAGGCACACATAATCACAGACATACACAAACACAATCACATACACATATAATTACTGACATACACACAAAAATCACATTCATATACACACATTTAGTAAGAGGTCCACCCAACATCCCTACCATCCCTATTTTGACAAGGTGGGGATTGGGGGTATAATGGCAGGGAGGGTGGTAATATAGGACAGGGAGGGTGGGGGTATAGGGCAGGGAGGGTATTATGACAAGGTGGGGATTGGGGGTATAATGGCAAAGGGGGTATTATGACAAGGTGGGGATTGACGGTATAATGGCAGGAAGGGTGTATGTATAAGGGCAGGGAGAGTTCTGCTCTGCTTCCCTATATGTACATTTTATGTAGCAATGTAAAATAACAACTGCCTTCAGTAGCTCATACATCAATATAGGTTGTATAACTATTGTTTTATCATTATACTGTGTCAGCATAATTTTGGAAAGTTGAGAAATAGATATTACTGTATTTGAAATGTAAAAGAATACAAATAGTCCGAGTTACTAGGAAAAGGATTTAAAACCTTATATGGCAATTTCTTGCTGACATGCTCAGTATTAAATTAAGCAGATACTCTGGGATCTCTCTATACATCTCTATCACTTGTCTAGATAGGAGCTGACTACACATGTTTCTGACAAGGTGGGGACTGGATGTATAATAGCACGGAGTGTGGGGGTATAGAGCAGGAAGTGTGGGGGTATAGAGCAGGGAGGGTATTATATAGCTATGAGCAGGGCCGGTGTATCTTTGATCTCCCCACCGGCCCATGGAGGCACACAGCGGGGCCGGCGCTTGGGTAGCACTGGCCCTGCAGGGGCCGGCAGGGGAGATTCTGTGATCTCCCCTGCCAGCCTCGGCCCCATGGCCATCGCGAGCCCACCGGGCATTTGCCCGGTATGCCCGATGGCCAGTCCGGGCCTGGCTATGAGGATGGGGGATGTGAATTTACAAGTGCTGTATAATATTAGGGGGTATGGGGGTATAACAGGGAGTGTGGGGGTATAGAGCAGGGAAGGTATTATATAGCTATGAGAAGCAACCTGGCAAAATACATGCTCTGCCCCCCCTGCTGGTACACTCCATAATAACCTCTCTGCTGCTCGGTGATGACTCAACACAGTCTGGAAATCCCTTCCCTGTGCTCGGACTCACTGACTGAGCGCCCGAGCCGCAAGGGAGAGGATATTATGGCTGAAGCAGCAGGAGGTACAGAGGTTGCCCCCCCCCCACTACTGTGAATTTACAAGTGCTGTATAATATTAGGGGGTATGGGGGAATAGAGCAGGGAGGGTATTATATAGCTATGAGCAGGGGCGTACCTAGAGCATTTGGCACCCGGGGAGGATCCTGTGCTTGGCACCCCCTTGCCCCCTCCAAAGCCCCGCCCCCAGTGCCAGTTTGGCGCTACTTCCGATTTTGCTTAGCTCCGCCCCACTTTTCCTCTGTGCGGCCAGTTTATCAGCTGTTTGCTTGTGTGAGCTGTACTGGCCGCACGGCACCCTAACTACCATCGGGCACTGTGCAGCCACAGCTCACACAGCCCCCTCCAGCCAGGGCCAGTGCAAGGATTTTTGCCGCCCTAACCAAAAGTAAAGTTTGCTGCCCCCTGCATGTGACATCATAATGCCCCACCCATATGATTTGCCATGTTACCTTATGCCAGTGCTGCAGTGCCGCTGTGTTTACATTAAAAGGCCTGCAGGGACAGGCTATAGACACCAGAACCACTACATTAAGCTGCAGTGGTTCTGGGGACTATAGTGTTTCTTTAATGTGAGGTAAATTAGAGATTAGTGCTACGAATAATATACTAGATTGCCTACTTACAACCAGATGAGGATGATGATGGGCTCTAGCTGCAGTCTGGCTCCACTGGTCTGGTGTAGAACAGGTTTTCTGAGGCGTTTTGTACTGTGGTCACAAAAATTCACGCCGGAGAAATTCCGGGAAGTGCTCTAGTTTTTGCGGGCCTTTTTACACAGCCAAGGTCTGGGCCCCAAAAGTCTACCTTTTCATGTTCCACCAATGAGTTTGTAGGGGATGTCCTGATATGTGTGTAAGGAATGCATTGTGTGAATCTGTGTTTGTATGTGTAAGGGCTGCAAGGTGTGTTTCTGTGTATGTACTGGATGCAGTGTGTGCGTCTGTAAGGGATGCATTGAGTGTGTGTAAGGGGTGCATTGAGTGTGTGTAATGAATGCATTGTGTGTTTCTGTTTGTGTAAGGGATGCATTATGTGTAAGGGTTGCATTGCTTGTGTATGTGTGTCTGTGTGTGTAATGCATTGTGTGTGTAATGCATTGTGTGTTTTTCTGTGTGCAAGGGGTGCATTGTGTGTGATTGTGTGTGTGTGATGGATGTCAATGTCTTCCCCCTCCCTTATTACTCTCTTTATCTCCCTCCTTGTCACTCTCTCTTTCTCCCCTTGCTACTTTCTTTTCTCCTCTCTTGTCACTTTTCTCCTTGTCACTTTTTCCTTGTCACTTTTCTTTCCTCCTTGTCACTTTTCTCTCCTTTGTCACTTCTTTTATTCTCTCTTTGTTTCCTTTCTCCCTCTTGTTACTTCTTTTCTACCTTTGTTACTTTCTTATCTCCCTTGTCACTTTTCTCCCCTGTCACTTCTCCCCACCCCAGCTACTTTTCCCCTACTCCCCAGTCACTTTCTTTTCTCCCCTACCTGTAGCGCGTCACTTTCTTTTCCCCTCCCACTCTACCACTTTTTCTCTACTCCTACCTCACTTCTTTCTCCACTCCCCCCATAACTCTGTTGTAGCGTGGCCGAGCCCTGTATCATGGTCCGTGGGTACAGGGAGCTTTTGTTTCCTGTACCCGGCCGGACTAACAGGAAGTACACACTCAGTGTGTACTTCCTGTTAGTCCAGCCGGGTACAGGAGACAGATGCTCCCTGTACCCGCAGACCATGATACAGGGCTCGGCCACGCTATGGGGAGGGAGTGACAGGAGGGAGCGCTGAGCGCTCCCTCCTGTCAGCCCCTCTCCTCATGCTTCGCCCGGGCGGTGCGCCCTCATGGACGCACCGCCCGGGCAAAGCTGCAGCCACCTGAGGCTCTCTACAGAGCGCTTGGGCGGCTGCAGCATGAGGGAGGCCGGCGCTCCTGGCGGCGCCCCCCACCAAGGCACCCCCCACCCTGCTGGCACCCGGGGCGGACCGCCCCCTCTGCCTCCTCCGCTCCCCCTTAGTACGCCACTGGCTATGAGGATGGGAGATGTGAATGTACAAATGCTGTATAATATTAGGGAGTATGGGGGTATAGAGCAGGGAGTGTGGGGGTATAGAGCAGGGAGGGTATTATATAGCTATGAGGATGGGGGATGTGAATTTACAAGTGCTGTATAATATTAGGGGGTATGGAGGTATAGAGCAGGGAGTGTGGGGGTATAGAGCAGGGAGGGTATTATATAGCTATGAGGATGGGGATGTGCATTTACAAGAGTTGTATAATATTATTAACTCACCATTCGGGTGGCAGGAGCAGCAGGGGCTGTCTCAGATCTTTCAGCCTCCAAGCAGCTCCATTCCAGTGTCAGGCAGTGCAGCAGGTGCAGACAGGGGATCTTGAGAGCCTGATTCTGATCCCCTCCATGTTCAGAGTGGCCGCTGGGAAGCAACCTGGCAAAATACATGCTCTGCCCCCCCTGCTGGTACACTCCATAATAACCTCTCTGCTGCTCGGTGATGACTCAACACAGTCTGGAAATCCCTTCCCTGTGCTCTGACTCACTGACTGAGCGCCGGAGCCGCGAGGGAGAGGATATTATGGCTAAAGCAGCAGGAGGTACAGAGGTTGCCCCCACCCACTACTGAGTGGAACCTGTGGCAGATCGCCTTCCCCCTTAGTACGCCACTGCACACACATTGCACCCATCACACACACATACTACTGCCCTACTAAAGGCCTTATCCCTGCAGACCCTATCTATGTTGTCAAACTGTTCTTAAACTATTTGACTACTTACTCTGCCACGGCATTCCTGGCACCATAACCACTAAAGAGGGCTGTAGTGGTTATTGTGACGGAATTGTTCCTTTAAATAATCTACAAGTGCCGCTCTCAAGATTAGGTTCTGGATCTGCCCCTGGTTACAACAGGTGCATCTACATTCTTGGCTGACGTTCTTCCTTTTCTGGGAGACATTTGTTTGTAAGTACACAAGACAATTCTCATTTGTGCTTATGGGCACACTAAGCACCATAACCTCTACAGGCCATTGTATTGGCTATTGACAGGAGCAACAAACTGTCCTGCTAAATCTGAGATATTGCTTGGTAGTGGTCATTTTGTTTTTTGTACTGAAAAAGTTGTGGCTTTTTAGTGTCATGTTTCAATGTAAATCCACGGTATTCAAAATAATCTCAAATATACTATTTTCCTAAAGCTCATCTTCCAATCATGACATACTGTTCTGGTGCAAAGAATCCATCACACCCAGGTGTTTTTTTTTTTACAAAGTATCTGCCAGCTTTACATAGCTAATCATAAAGACAATATCAAATAATCATATTAAAGCTGTAGAACTATCACAGCCCCTCGTTTAAAGGTTCCCTGGGACAGACCCTCAAATACAACTTTTACTCTTACAATAAAGAATAAGGGTCATCTACAAGTAATGACAGCAGCAACTTACCGAAAAAACCCAAACATAATTAATGATTAAATGCACCTCGAAATACATCTCAGATTAATTGGATACACACTTTCAGCTTACTTTTCCTTTTTCTTTTTCCTGGAGGGCATTTGTGGGAGGTGGCTAAATGCTACCTTTAAACATTCAGAGCTGTGGTGATAGAGAATTTTTTAAAAATCACATCTTTTCTCGCTCCTGTTATCCTTCTTTTATTTCTTGCTTACATTTTTAATTACACATTTTAGAGACCAAGTTCATTGATGAAGGTTTTGACATTGGAGATGCATAGTGTATGCATTGCTGGTTTAGGACCTCAGTAATCACATAGTTTGGCACCCAGTGAGTCAGAGTACAAGCTGGAAACATCCGATGGCTGCACTCTGACTCAATAGAAAGTGCTGGACCGCAAGATAGTCATTACTGAGGTCCGCACCCACTGAAGGTGCAAACATCACACTAGTAGATCTGATCCTCCCACCAAGGCAGCCAGGGCTAAAAGAATAATACAAACTGCCTGGTCACAGCTCAGTGGTGCCCTATTCCTGTGGCAACCAGGTTACATGCCACACCTGTCATACCCTAGGTATGCCACTGATTGCTTGTATACATCATATTACAAGGGCACATCACTTCCCCCTTAAAAATAGATTATCATCTCCTGAAAATTATGTTGCTTCCTCTATACATACAAACAATATACATTAATATAAATAAATGCTCTGCTTCCCTATATGAACATTTTATGTAGCAATGTAAAAGAACAACTGCCTTCAGTAGCTCGTACATTAATATTTACTTTTAATACAGGTTTTATTACTATTGCTTTATCATTATACTGTGTCAGCATAATTTTGGAAAGTTGAGAAATAGATATTACTGTATTTGAAAAGTAAAATAATACAAATAATCCGAGTTACTAGGAAAAGGATTTAAAACCTTATATAGGGTTATTTGCGCCAGTGATAAACGATTTACACCCACTCTCGCAAAATATCAATTTGTTGCTGACATGCTCAGTATTAAATTAAGCAGATACTCTGGGATCTCTCTATATATCTCTATCACTTGTCTAGTTAGGAGCTGACTACACATGTTTCTGGAACATTCACATTAACAGATTTGCACAAACAGATGCTGTCCTGTTAATCAATGCATTCTTGGAGGGAAAAAATGTATGTCTACTATTTCTAAATGTTATATATTATTATTCTTCACATGCAGAAAGCCAAACAAAGACAAATAATGATAATCTAAACCCTCCCCTGCATCATGCAGTGTGCAGCAGAATATTAATAAACAATCTCAACTATGTTTGTTATATAATACACAAAAAGTAGGTGGAGCAAGTGACAATAATAATAAAATGTACTTCCCTCTCTTCTACCTTTCTTGCTGTAAAAGATAGAGAGGTACAAGATAGTGCAGATATTTCTTATACACAATATATATAGAAAAAACCAAATCTTATACACTCACAATGGAAGAGCCATAGATTAGAACCTGGCTCTGGTGTGAATCTCCTCTGGGATCTTAATAGGGTGATCCCCAAACCTCTTTGATGATACTTGTTAGAGTATAGCTTCTTTTTCCTTTTTCTTTCAATACCAGGCAATGGAGATAGAATATATTCCAGGGAAAAAATATTTATTTGCAAAAAATTATAAAATCAATAAATGATATAAATATAAAGGGTAAGACCTCCCAGTGTCCAGTAAACTTGCCAAAACGCGTTTGTTTGTTATATTGCTGTTGAAAAGAACGGGAGCATAGACACTGGATGTCTCATGAGACAGGGATGTTACAAGACCAAAACAGTTCTCTCATTGCATTGCAAAGGCAAAATATACCCCATCCTCAGAGTAAGAGAGAGACAGCAGTCATGGATTACTGAGAGAAAGAAAAGAAAGAAAGAGTAAGAATAAGTAATACAGATCGCCATTTTCTGCCCATCCCCATGAAAGAGTACAGCCTGCCAAGGATCATTGGGATTCATGGCTCTCCATTACTAAGGTCTTTCAAGAGAAATATTGTTCAGATAGATCTCTAGCTTTCCCCTGTTTCATGATCTTCTAGCAGTTTTGGTCCCAACATTGAAGTGATATAAACATTAAATATCTGTATGATCACACCTCTATCCAGTGCAGGACTGAAAATAAGAAGCAGCCCTGGTAACATTTTTATATCAGCCCTATCGTGTATCGTGTCAGTTTACGCATACAGATATACAGGTGTATATACAGGTGGATGAATAAAGAAAAAGTTAACATTGAAGATCATTTCTACAACATGAAGCCGCTCATGCTGATGTGCCTGGTGATATTTTGTTGGTGCCACTAGATGTGGGATACCAGGGAACAAAATTAGGACAGCGGGAGAAAACCATAAATTAGGGACTGTCCCGCTAAAAGCAAGACATCTGGGACATTTGCTTTTACTTTAATTTAATTCTCCTTCAGGCAGTTATTTTTAATTCTAGCAGCATGTTGAATTGCACAGGGAGCAATGCTATGCCCCTAGCATTACCTGCACTTCATGACATGTGCACAGTCGCCTTGTCAGCATATGCATGAACCCCACCATTACCCATTTACCAATAAAACACTGACACCATAGTTTTGGCAAAATTTATATTACAGCTTTATTGATTCTTAACATAAAATATAACGGTCATTGTCAACAGCAGGCCAGCGTTGGCCTGCACAATTACCATTCTGCATTTTACAATTTTAACCCCCTGACAATGACCCCCTCCCACATAACATAAACCCAAACATTGTAACATATAACTTAACATTGAAACATGACCATTGCCACCAAAGGGCACCATCCATTGCCACCAAAGGGCACCACAAGTGTAGGGGCATACTGAGACACCCTTACACGCCCCGGTTCGGAGCTACCTACGAGCTTGAACCTACCAAACCAGTCCATAGGCCTACCTATTAGCCCTGAATTCCAAACATGTTCCCCATCTAACTCGTTTCTCCCCCCAACTTTACCCTCCATCCCCCGCCACAGCTCAGAGCTTGACTCCTCGAGCTCCTGAGCAACACCCCCCCAGGGAAAAGATTGCCCTCTGGAGGCCCTCCTTGAAATCCAACAATAGAAAATCCAAGCCCACTTCAGAGAGATGGACCCCATCGCGCCTATAATAACCTGGAAGCATGTCTTCCAACTCCCTGTGCCGAATTACAACCCCTCCCAACCGCTTCACATATGCTGCCATCACCTTATTGACCTTTCCCCACTGTGGAGGGATTCCGCACGTGTCGCCAGTGAAACCTCGGAACCATCTCCGACCATACCACCATAACCCCCGGCACTAACTCTATTGGCTTGTCCACATCCCTATTCATACACTCAATCAATACCTTTTGAGGTAACAACCCCACATCATTGCCCCCAGAGTGAATCACCACTATGTCCGGAACCTGTCCGAAAAGAATTTTGTTTAACAATTCAACGCAAATTGCATTCCAACCCCAACCCCAGTAACCAAACCACCGAAGCTGAACCACAGAACTTGGAAAGCCCAGCTGTAGACCACGATGCCGAACTGCAGCTCTCCGATGCGCCCAGTATATGTATGAGTGGCCGACCACCCATGCCATCCTACCTGTAAGACATAAAGCAAACATAGACAACCACGAAACCAACTGCGAAATCAAAATTTCCCTTAGGATTTATACCAACTTGTCTGGTCTGACATAAGATCTGAACCTCATCGACTCCCACCTGTCAATCTTCTTCACCCGATCATCTCCCAAGCCCAGTCTGGCCGCTTCAGTAGCTGCGCCAATCCTAAAGGAATGAGTCCCGAATTGGCCCGGGCCCACTCCCAACCTTGCTAACGCCTTCCGAAAAACCCTGAGGAACTGGAACTTCAATAGCAAAGAGCCGTCCTCATGCTTAAAGTATGATCCCCCAGCCGTCGCCTGCATCTCCTGGAAAGCCGCTGCGCACCTAACCGGACAATTTTTTCCACCCGGGAGCTCCCACAAGATAACCAACGTTTCTTTTCCCAGTACATCTGTTTTGGACCGCTTCAGGTTGATGACTACTCTGTTACTCCACACTTCCACATCCACCGCCTGAAGCCCCCCGGCCCCTTGGCGATTGCTGCTGACCAGCCCTGAAAAAAGCAAAACTAAAAATCATGGAGAACAGTGTAACTTCGTATCCCAAAAAACACACCTCGGGCAGCACCCAGACCACTGCTGAAGCAACTCGAACGACACCGGCCTGCTGGAATCCACTGACACCTTACCCCGCATGAAACCTTTTAGTGCCTGCCTAACAAGAAAATGTTTTGTGACATCCTCCCACCCATTAAACTTGAACAAAAAGGCTAACGCTGCCAGCTTGCGCCCTACTACCGCTGCCGAGGCCCCTGCGGTGAACGACCTGCACAAGAGCCACAACATCACATCTAACCAGGCCTCCTTTGAGAGCTGACCCCCTGTATGCTGCACCAGCTCGTCCCATTCCCCCCACACCTTACTGTACGCCGTCCAGGTAGCGGGTACCAGGGAGTCCCTGATCAGTCCGCCAAGCATGATGTCCCGAGCCGCCACATCTCGTCTGGGCAAGACATCCGCAAGACGTGGCGTGCCCGAAAAACAATATTAAAATGCATACAGAACAAGACAAAACGGCGAAGAAGCCGCACCACCGGGATAGAGGACGCTGAAAGCCCATTCACTACATCTACCACTGCCATATTGTCCGAAAAGAATACAACCTTCTTATCCCTCAACTGCGGACCCCATAGTGATAGTGCTACGACTAACGGGAACAACTCCAGGAATGCCAAGTTGCGTATCAGCAGGCTGGCCTTTCATGCCGCTGGCCAAGTTCCCGCGCACCATTGACCCGAGAAGTAAGCCTCGAAACTGACACTGACAACAACGCATCCGTGAACAGCTCCAGCTCCAGGGAAGACGCCGCCGGCTCCCGAAAGAACACCTTCCCATTAAAATCCCGTAAGAATTCACCCCAGATGTCCAGATCGGCCTTCATAGCCGCTGAGACCAGAATAAGGTGGTGTGGGAACACCATGTCGCCCTAGCTAGTAACCTGTTAAGGACCCTCCCGACCGGAATCACCCGACAGGTGAAGTTTAGCCGACCCAGCAGAGACTGAAGCGCCCAGAGTGCCAGCAACTTGTCCTGTGGCAACCTACACTCCCCTTTGATCGAGTCAATCTCCAAGCCCAAGAAACTCAAGCATGTAGTAGGCTCCACCGTTTTGTCACTCACCAAGGGGACGCCAATAACGTGCGCCACCCATTCCAATGTCCTCAGTCCCATGCGGCATTCCTCCGATCCGGGAGGCCCGACACATAGGAAATCATCCAGGTAATGAACCACCATCTTAGTGCCCGCTTCCAGTTTCACCACTCATTCCAGAAATGTGCAAAATTTTTCGAAGTACGCGCACGATATAGAGCACCCCATGGGCAAACATAGATCCATGTAATACTCACCATCGAAGTGACATCCCAGCAAGTGATGGCACTTCAGGTGAATTGGCAAAAGGCGAAAAGCCGCCTCCACGTCTGCCTTTGCCAACAATGCCCTATGGCCAGCTTGTTGCACCAGATTCACCACCTGGTCGAACGAAACGTACGACACCGAACAAAGGGCCTTGTCAATTTCGTCGTTAACCAATGACCCCTTGGGGTAGGACAGGTGATTTATCAGGCGGTACTTACCCGGCTCCTTCTTGAGTACCACCACCAGCGGTGACACCCTCAAGTTATGTAGAGGGGGCTCCCTGAACGGTCCCGCCACCCTGCCTAACTGGACCTCCTTCAGCAACTTCTCCCTTACCACCCCCGGAAATTCCCCTGCCGACTTCAAGTTGCGAAGACGATGAGCCACCACCCGTTCCCGAAATGGGATCACGAACCCTTTAGAAAACCCCTCCTCGAGCAACAACGCATCTTCCCGGTTAGCGTAGCGGCTTAGCCATGGTAGCATTGCGCCGACGCTCACTGGCATTGCCCCCAGTTGCAGGGGATGTGGCCGAACCTCTGGGCACCCACGCCGCGGTAGCTGACTTACCTTTTTTAAAGCACCTGTGGAGTCGGTGGGTGCCTCCACACCCGGAGCACTCGTGCTTGAAGCGACACGTGGCCCCCCAATTGCACTGTCCCTCGTTATAAAGCCAACAATAGCCCTGTTTTTGGTTGGCCGACACGGCGGTGGAAGTGCCCATGCCGGGCCCTGGCTGAAAGGGAGACGCCTTCTGCACCATCATAGGTTTTATCCAGAGTGGTAGGTCCATCTGGTCCCACCGCATCCTAGGATTAGCAGCCAGGCGCTGACGAAACTGCACGTCGTATTGCCACCATTCCAGACCCCCTACGTGCGATACGCTTCCCAAATTCCATCCAGGTAACAAAAGAGCTGTGAAGAGCGCTCCGCCACTTTTTCGCCCATCACGCTGGCCAAGATGCAGAACGCCCTCAACCAATTCCCAAACGTCTTAGGGATCTTCCTATACCGCCGTTTCTTCTCCTCCTCATCTATTTTAGCATTCTTTTTATCCTCCTCCTTGAGGTCAATGTAGTCCTCAAGGGGGAGAAGCTAAAAGAGCTCCACAAACTCCCCTTTCCAGATCCTCTCCTTCACCTCAAGTTTTAGATGACAGCCCAATGGGCCCGCGAAAGAAACATGTACATTCTGCCGTGTGGCCTCCGGGACACCCCCAAGTAAATTGTCCCTCTCGCTGGCCAATCCGGGCGCCTCCACCACAGGGGTCGTACCCCCGTCCCCAACCGTGCTGCCCCCGGCCCCCTAAACCACCACTCGACCCAGTGACCTCCCCTGGCTGAGCCCAAACCTGACTGCAATCCCCGTCCCTCTGTGGATGTCCTGCCCCAGGCGTTCCACCGCTCCGGGCCGTATTCCCGCAGCGCTGGGTCTCACCCGATCCGCGGGCGACCTTGAAGACGCCTGTCCAGCAACCTGGTCCACCTTGCCTGCCGGCGACCGTCCCGATGTCCTCAACGCGTGGGATCTCTGCCTCACCGAGGGTGACCGTCTTCGAGACCTGCAAAGAGAAGACATCCTGGGTAGGCTGGCCGTGGAAACCCTGCCCTGTCCCCTCTCTTCCTGGAAACTGTAACCCATCTCCCCACTAGCCGTCCGTCCCTGAGGGCCGTGAGCCTTCGCAGCAGCCCGCACTCTCTCTGGGGAACTCCCACTCATGGAACTGTCTTCCTGCTGCCTCCAGCCAAACATCCTGACAGGGGGCATCCTACACCGCCCCTGGGTGTGATCAGCCCCACAGGGGTCCCTGTCATCTACGTCAGTCACCCTCCGATGGCTGCTACGTGACAGGTGCCTCCTTGCACCCTGTGCGCCCTTTGCTAGAGCCCTGCGCGCTATCCTTTGGAGGGTGCAGACCTTCTGCAATGTTCCTCGCTGGCACTGCCTTCCGATCCTTCCCTGACAACCTGACCCACCTGTTGTCGGCCCTGGCCCGGTCGTATGGGAGACCCTGGGGAAGCGCTGCACTCCCGCACGCTGACTGAGGAGACTCTGTGGCATCGTGTATCGCTATACCCTTCTGGTCTGCTCCGTGCCCTAGCAGTCCCCCGCCTGCCTCCTGCCACCCTGCCGTCACCAACCATGCTAACACCGAGACCCACCAACAGCACTTTGAGCATTCCCAGGCCCTGCTGCCGAGCCTGCCGTACCGCTCCTCCTTTTTCCGCTGAACCCTGCCTGTAATGGCCGCTTTCCGGAACTCCTGTCACCAGCAGCCACTTCTCCTTCATTCCCTGTAAGAGAGGACACAAAAACCCAACGTTCAGCAGTTTTTCTGCCTCCTCGTTCGGGAAACGAACGGTCGGCAGTATCAATACCTTCACATTCGTCTCCCGAACGTTTGGCAGTTTTAACCCATTCGCTGGTTCTCCTACCACCACGTTCGTCTTCCGAACGTTCGGCAGTTTCAGCCCTTTCGCCAGTTCTCCTACCTCCACATTCACTCCCGGAACGTTCGGCAGTTTCAGATTCAGTTCCCGAACCAGCAGCCTGCAACTCCAGCCTCGCTTGACGACGTGTTCGTGTGGCTGCACTGCGACACCTCCTGCGACCTCCTCCACTTGTGGTCTTCCCAGCCGACTCACCGCTACCATCGAGACCTCCAGAAGTGCTCTTTGGACGCCGGGGCTCAACCTCTGCGGGGGCCTTGTCCTCCTGACCGGCCTCTGACCCTGGGAGCTTCCTGATCCGCATGGCAGAGCATCTCCATCTGCCACTCGACACCCCTCTCTTGCACAGCTGCCTGGACTCCTTCTAGCCAATCTTCCATCTTGCTGACAACCTGCAGAGGAGACAAAAGAAAAAGCCACACAAATCCTGCCACAACAACAGGTAAGTGCAACTTAGATTAAAGTGATTCCTAGATCTAAAATGGAGTAGCCTCTTATAACTCCACCCCACTCCATTTCCTTAAACCAATCCCTAACCACTGACCCTTAGATGCCTGTCTCCTGGCAATGTCAAGGCCCCCTCCCTTTAGCTACGCTGCTCCATGGGCTACATTCAGCAGCTGCCCTTGTGTTTTTCCATACATCTAATTAACCAAATTTCACAGGTATTTGTTAAACACTACATGTTCATAAATAGACTTTAGTGCTTGAATGTACTTAAATAGGAAGAATACGTGTACTTGAAATGATGTATTGAGAGATTGCAGTCCTTTGTCTTTTCCTCTTAAAACCTAAATGAGGCAGGTGTAATATTTCTCCGGGAAGTGACAGGTGGTCATTTGTACCTTCTGGCATGGAAATCAGTTGTTACTCAATATTTAGCATCTTCTATTCATCGCTGCTGAAGATGTTAAAATTTTTAACATCTGTTAAATATCGGTTGCTAAATGTTAATTTTTGTAGCAGGGGAAAAGTTTGTAAACGCTGGTGAAAGCATCATTGTCAAGTAATGATTGTAACAAGCATGCAAACAAGCCCATTCTGTGTTATTTTTCCCAGAAATAATGCCTTCCACCAAGAATGGTAATTAGAATAGACATTTTTAAAATTTATAATTATGTGGGCCAATGTGTCACCAATGCCAGAAGACAAAGGTGCTTGATTTACCATTTGGAACAGAGAAAAATAACAGGCATTGCAACACATTTCCACAAAAAGAATATGTACCAATTGATGTATATAAGCTGCAGTGCCCAAATTTTTGTTTATACATTCATGAGCCGCACCTTATTGCAAAAAAAATAGAAAATGGATACATTGTCTGGCATTAATCCTATGCCTCCCCTAACTTGTGTAGGATTCAGCAAGTGCAAGCCAGAAGCAAGCTTCTGTGGTATTTTGAAGCATAATAAGTTTTAACTCGTGTCAAATCTAACTTCTTAAAACAATGTAACACCCTCAGCAATATACCTATATCACAGCTACATATCTCAGCTTTCAAACGTCACAGCAATCACATTATTATTATATTATTTATATAGCGCCAACAAATTGCGCAGCGCTTTACAGTGGGGGAATGAACAGACATGTAGTTGTAACCAGACAAGTTGGACACACAGGAACAGAGGGGTTGAGGGCCCTGCTCAGTGAGCTTACATGCTAGAGAGTGGGGTAAAGTGAAACAAAAGGTAAGGATAGAATAAGACTAATGACAGTTGCAAGAGAGTAATTAATAAGGGAGCTATTAACAGTTTAATATACAAGTACACTACTTAGACAGTAATATGCTACTTTCACTTGAACTAGTTCATATCTTTTTTTTCAATTTGACAATTTTTATTTGTCTTTTCATAGGATGATGGGGTACAGAAAGGAAAAGTGGGATGGGGTAAACATTAATCCATGCACAATAAAATGATACAAAACAAGTGTTGTATTATTGATTATTCATTCGACACACTAGGCATATTTAAGTGTTCTTCTGTTGTACATCTTACACAGTTGGTTGCTAGGTGGTCTTTGTCTAGTAGCATTCCTGTTTAGTGGTGGAGGACCCACTGCATTATGTTTCCGTGTCCGCTCTCAGTATACTAGGGGATGTATAGTTTGATTATCGAGCTGAGGATCAGTATGTGTCAGATGCAACTCGAGCATTACAATTAGATTAGGACAATTTCACCTTATAGTGTGAGAATCTTCTCCCCTAAACTTGTTATTATTATTATTATTATTTTTTTTTTTTAGTTTGTATTGTTTATGTATTGTTTATGTATATAATATGGCGGGGGGTACAGTAAAGAAGAAGGGGAGGGTGAGCGGTTAGGGTACATTGTTCATATTCATGCTTATACATGTTAGACATTCCTAACGAACTTGGTCTTATATGGGTGGTATCGTGTTGCTAGTGGGGTGGGTCAAGGTCCAGCCATTCGCCTTGTGGTGCTCTATCCCAACTTGCGTTCCCTATGACTAATTATTGTCGCCTTAGTTGGGGGGGGGGGTGGAGAATGGGAGAGGTGGGTATGGGGAGGAGGTGAGGAGGGTGTGTGGACCTGGCACCATTCACGTATTGCTCCTGTTTCCTTGTCATGCTTCATTTATTATTTGCAGCGTGGTGCTTGGGTCCTTACCCCTCGAACTATGTACATTGTGGGTTCATATTCCTCAACGCCCTGGAGCTGGTGTGCTGTTTGGGCAATTCCCAGATATCTCGTTCTTTTGTGGGGACCTTCTTCTCTAGACCTCTGTTCTAGTGGTTGACCTACTCGTCTTACACTCTCCGTCTTGTGTCTCTAAATCCAGCCTTTGTTTTTTTTTGTTTTTTTCTTTCCTTGTCTATATCTCCTCCCCCATCTTTGTTATGTAGGTTTCCCACTCATCTCTGGCTTGTATGATATGTTTTGCTGGGCGAAACTGCTGGCTAGTCCCTATTTCGTAGGTAAGGTTGAGTGACGTCTGTTCTATCAGGTCAGTCCTAGTGGGTGCCTGCGTCTGTTTCCATCTCCTGGCTCACAGGAGGTTTGCTGCTGTCAAGATGTGAAATAATAGGCCCGCTTGTGGTTTTGGGTGGGAGTCCAGTGATATGAATAGTAAGGCACATTCTGGGCTTAGCTTAGTGTCGACTCTTAATGCTCCCCTAACTGTTGCCTCCACCATATTCCAGTATTCCTTGAGCCTTGGGCAGGTCCACCAGATGTGGTACATTGTGCCCTCTCCTGTTAAGCATCTCCAACATAATTTGGAGGTGTTAGGGTAAATGGTCGCCAGTCTCGTTGGCACCAGGTACCATCTGTATTGTATCTTGCACATGAGCTCTAAGTGCGATGCACATCTGGATCTGCCTTTATGAGCCGTAAAAGCCAGGGTCCATTGGTCATCTGAGAATATTGTACCTATGTCTCTGTGCCATGCGTCTCTAAAATTGTCTGTCTGTAATTGTTGGTTGGAGTCACTGAGCAGTGTATATAGTAGTGAGAGTGGTTTAACTAGTTCATATCTTAATACATGCAACAACAATATTAACACAAACATGCATGCACCCTTCTCTAGCATTATATCTAGCAACCGCGGAACTTTATATCTGGTTTAATGCAAATCACAAGACCCAACCAATCAAAGTTATATCACACACCTTAAAACACCTGTCTGACATTCATCATCTAAATATCTCCCATGCTACCCTTTGAGTTCCTGAAAAGGGAAAACAAACCAAAACAGGGTGCAATACGGAGAATGGACAACAACTCAAATAGCTTGCTCTTCAGGTGGGTTCCTGTTCAGTTCTTAAGCTGGTTTTATCTCAAAAGGGCTGTCCAGATCCGAGATACAGGCCAAGAGATACAGCAACTCCAGATGATAATTTCAGCTTTGCTGTGCTTCGTCAGTGAGGTATAGGGATAAGCCTCGAAGAACAGTAAGCTAGTGGTCCATGTTTGGATTATGCTTTTACCTTAGGGAGAACAAACAAACTAAATCAAGGGGCAATAAAATACAGAGAATAGAAAAACAACTTAAATAGCTTGGTCTTTGGTGGGCTTCTGCGCCAAAATTGTCATTGAGTTCTCCTGAACTTCGGATAGTTTGAAATGAATTTATGGTCCCTTTTCAGTTTAGCAATGCATAACTTGATAACTATTTACATGCCTGAAATATTTATTCACTGTATGTCAGGTCCCCTTGGACCAGCTCCATGACAGTTGCTTTGTAATTAATAGTGTGGTAGTGTAGTAATACTACCTTTATAAATTGTGTGTCAAGTTGGTGCAATCCTTAATTTCAATACATGTTAAAATCAACAGGTGGCGCAATTTCCTCAAATATGAAATAGAATAGAATGTTCTTGTTTAACCAATACTCGTGTTTGCAGCTTTTTGGAATGTCTGTTTTATCTTTATGTAATATGCTTCAATGGTTTCTTCTGCCAGAGGCTAAAAAACACTCAGTTTTGCCCGGTGCTGCAAGCAATTCTACACTTAAACAGGAAAATCAAAGGCTTGTATTTACATTGAAGAGCTATACTCACTACAAAGTATTGCTTTGGTTCCAATGATGTCTGCCTTCTCAGTATACTTATACACTAGGCTGCTTCCAAGGTGACATGTCTTAATGTTGCAAACAAAATAATCAGCACTCAGGAAGCAGTGATTTTAATCTTTACCCGCCAAAAATATGGAACTCTGTCATCGCGCAGGGTCACTTTCCTGCTCACAATAGATTTCGGCAATGAGAGGCAGGCAAAACAGTGAAGGAGATCAAAGATAAAATGAACTTTATTAAAGTCACATGGTCAGTTCACTAGTCATACTTATCTTCTATCTCTGCCAGTCTTTATATTCCTCGGTGTGTCTCTCTGTACAGTGAGTGCAACAGTGGGAAGTCCACAACATTGAACACTCACTGACAATCTAGAGATGGAGCTAACCACCACTTTTAAATAGAATTTGGAATAAGGGGACAAACAAAATAAATAAATGAATAAATAAATGGAAATGAAAGTGTAAGGATAGAGTGAGTAGCCAATTGATGACCCAATAACTCTTTTCAACCCATGGGGGAAACCTTTGCACTTCTTTCTTCCTTAGCAAGAAATAAACATAGAGAGTACCTACAGTGTCCTAATGATTGACTGTCTTAGCTGGCAGTGGAAGGCAGTGTTGCCACACTGCAGCAGCAGACAGAAAGGAGAAACAAACCACCATTTTTAA